CTCATTTGCATATAATTTGCATATCATTTGCATCTAATTTGTCGGCTTCAGCAGGGTTTTACTGACCTGACCACCTCCTGGGCTCACCTGGGGATCCCAAACCCAGCCCGGCCCCACCTGACTGTGCTGGCTCTGCCCCCTTTCTGTCTCCCTCCTCATTTGCATATCATTTGCATACCATTTGCATCCCATCTGCATCTCATTAGTCAGGTTTTGGGGGGTTTTAGCCCATTCCCACCTGCCCAATTCACCTGGGGCTGCCAAACCCAGCCCGGCCCCACCTGACAGCCCCGGCTCCGCCCCCTTGGTGTTGCTCATCTGCATCTCATTTGCATCTCATTAGGCGCTCCCTGAGGGTTTCTCAGCACGCTCTCACCTGCCGGACTCACCTGGAGCCGCACCTGGAGCCCAGGAAAGCCCAAACCCCACCTGTACCTCACAGAAACCCCACGTAATTACCACCTAATTACCCCCTAATTAGCATCTCATTAGCATACTGACACCATTTCCGCCCTCCCACCCCTGTCCAGAGTCCCTCACCTGGGCCCCGTCACTCCCTGCCCAGGTGTGCCCAGAGCTCACCTGTCCCTCATACAACCGCCATGTCATTACCATTTAATTAACCCCTAATTAGCATCTCATTAGCATACTGACACCATTTCCGCCCTCCCATTCATCTCCAGAGCCGCTCACCTGGGCCCCGTCACTCCCTGCCCAGGTGTGCCCAGACCCCACCTGCCCCTCATAGAAACCCCACGTAATTACCATTTAATTAACGCCTAATTAGCATCTCATTAGCATACCATCAGCACTAATTTGGCCCCATTTCCACCCTCCCAGCCCCATTCAAAACCCCTTAATTGGGTCCCATCACTCCCTGCCCAGGTGTGCCCAAACCCCACCTGTCCCGCATAGAAACCCCATGTCATTACCACCTAATTACCACCTAATTAGCATCTCATTAGCATACCGACAGCAATCATTTGAGATCTTTCTCACTCTCCCATTCATCTCCAGAGTCCATCACCTGGTCCCATCACTTCCTGCCCAGGTGTGCCCAGACCCCACCTGCCCCTCATAGAAACCCCACGTCATTACCACCTAATCACCGCCCTAATTAGCATCTCATTAGCATACCGTCAGCACTAATTGGAGACCTTTCTCACTCTCCCATTCATCTCCAGAGCCGCTCACCTGGGCCCCGTCACTCCCTGCCCAGGTGTGCCCAGACCCCACCTGTCCCTCATAGAAACCCCATGTCATTAGCAGCTAATTAACACCTAATTAGCATCTCATTAGCATACTGGCAGCACTAATTAGACACTGGTTCTACCATTGTCCAGAGTCCCTCACCTGGGTCCTGTCACTCCCTGCCCAGGTGTGCCCAAACCCCACCTGTCCTTCATAGAAACCCCACATCATTAGCAGCTAATTACCGCCTAATTAGCATCTCATTAGCATACCAGCAGCAATAATTGGGCCTCATTTAGACCCTCCCAGCCCCATCCAAAACCCCTCACCTGGGTCCCATCACTTCTTGCCCAGGTGTGCCCAGACCTCACCTGCCCCTCATAGAAACCCCACATCATTACCACCTAATTACCACCTAATTACCCCCTAATTAGCATCTCATTAGCATACTGACACCATTTCCGCCCTCCCATTCATCTCCAGAGCCGCTCACCTGGGCCCTGTCACTCCCTGCCCAGGTGTGCCCAGACCCCACCTGTCTCTCATAGAAACCCCACGTCATTAGCAGCTAATTACCGCCTAATTAGCATCTCATTAGCATACCGTCAGCACTAATTTGGCCCCATTTCCACCCTCCCAGCCCTGTTCAAAACCCCTTAATTGGGTATTGTCACTTCTTGCTCAGCTGTGCCCAAACCCCACCTGTCCCTCATAGCAACCCCACGTCATTACCAGCTAATTACCGCCTAATTAGCATGTGATTAGCATACCGGTAGCAGTAATTGGGCGCGGACCAGACGGTGAGCACGGTCTCTCCGAAGTGCCACTTGTAGCCCTCCATGACGAGCTGGTGGGCGCGGCAGATCATGGCGACCTCGTTGGCGGCGTTGAACTGCGCCACCACGTCCGAGCCGAACAGGTACCCGGCGCCGCGGGGCGACACGCCCCAGCCCGTGGTGTCTGACACGGGAAAACACG